CCCACCCCAAAACAAACAAATAAAAAAACCAAAACATGACAATCAAACCCATAAAATTCAAGATCCATCTAATTTCATAATGACCAGGCAAACATTGATGAGCATGCTAGATATTGGAAGAACAACAGAATATCTGTTCAGTAAGCTCCGAAACAAAAAAGGCAACAGGTTCACCTTTACAGGACACCCCATAGTGCAAAAATCTAAAGATGATTTCGTTACACCGTAAAATTGTATCTTGTAATATATGGCAATTACTTAGAAGCATGTTATCATTTGTGGACAAAGGGCTGCATTTTATTAAAAGGCATCTGGCTAGTTCAGAATAGTCATCATTGCTTTGTCCATTTAGTGTAATAGTTCATTTTACTTCGTATTTTTCTGTTAGAATATTACTATAACTTTAAAAAAAAGCAGCATAAAAAAAAATCAATAATGTCTATTAATTTTCAGAGGCATTTGTGAAGTCTTCTCATTTGGTTTCAAATGATAATACTCAAATAAAAGTCTATGCCACCATATGCCCTTATGGAGCATCCTTAAACCTATAGTGAAAGTGAGCTGCATTCCTTTTTACTTCACATACCTCCACAAAAAATTGTCAAAAAGTTCCAAAATCCTAATTATTTATGAATACGGCCCGATTTAAATCATGGGCCTAACTTGCTAGTATGGTCCAACTGTGGCAGGGGCTGCAGGGGCAGAATCATTTGGCACTGTCCCTGGCAGACCCCAGCCTGGCCAAACTTGCTTGGCATTGCAGTGGTGATGGCTTGGCAGTGCCCACAACCCCCAAAAAACAAAGGATTGCAAGGTGGGCGGGAGGGAGGTGCTGGAGCACAGGTGGCACTGCTTACATACAGGGGGACGCTGTCCCAACTTCACCCACCACTACCCCCACCACTGTCCCCACGCCTGCCCCCGACTCTGCTCTGCACGTAGAAGTCCTGCTGGGGCAGTGTTGCGCACTTTCCTCCCACTGCCTTCTGGGCCCCACCTGCAGCCACCCCCCAGCAAGCAGCCATATTCTTTGGCATTTCGTTGCAAATAACATTTTTCATGAAAATGACTTAATTTTGTGTTTTCACAAAAAATGTGAAATCATGATTTAAACCAGGCCTTACTTATGAAGAAAGCAGCTTTTCAGGTATACTTGGAATGGAATTGCCAAGGAAGTATGGGTAATTTTGGTTAAATGAGCAGAAGAATGGCTAATATACCCTAATAGACTGAACCTTTTTAACCCAAGTACTTTTCCCCAAATAAAATTTATAAATACCTTCATAAGCTGTTAAAACTGCAATTATTGCAGATGACATCCTAATACCCAGGATGAAGTTTCAGCCCATGCCACTGAGACACTGGTGATCAAAAGCATCTAGAAACGTAGTTCTGAGCTTTCTTTTAATTGCAGATTTATGGCCGTTAGATTTCCAGGCCAAAATTAAAACCAACAAATACAAAAAGAAATATCCAGGTACAGGAAGCGTTTCAGCTTGCAGGGTTCACAAACATTAATCATTTACAAAAATATTAGAAATTTGATCTAATAATTAGATTCTAAACATGGCAAATTTGTGTGCATTACTATTATATTCTGTACCTGGAAAATTATCAGAGGGCTGTCTTAAACGTATATTATTGTGGTGTCCAAAAACCCTAATAAAAGGGCAAGGCTGTACTGTACTAGGTTTCAAGCACACCACAAAAACAAAATCAGGTATCAAGAACATTTTTCACTATGTTAGGCAAACTGTCTCTCCTTAGATGTTGTTCTGTAACTGAATGCTTTATTTAGCTTCACAGAGAGGGTCAATTCCCAACTCTGAACCGTGATTTTAGCAGAGGCAATACAAGTGACTGATACATGTTAAAAACCCCTTATATTTAAGTATTTAATGTTCTAGATACTCACTGTGATAACCTTAACTTTACGTCTGAGACAGAATATTGGCCCTGGAATGGATGGCTAGAAAAGGAAAAAAGTTAGTTCAGAAGTTTCAATATTAGTGTTTTCATAATGAACACATGCCACACTTTACATTACTGGTTGTCCTCCGCTGCTGTAAAGAAAATATCTAGTCTAGTTGTATTCTCCATCTCTTCATGGATCACATCCCAGGTTGTGATTCAGTCCTAAGCTTCTGCCAAATCATCTGCAAGCCAGGTCTACAAGCCAGCTGTATATAGTCTTATTTTCACTGCTCCTGCAAGCTGACAGTTGAGACTCTTCCTGTTGACAAGACGGGGAATGAGAGCCCTTTCTCTGGTAGCCAGAAAGGGCTTTATAGGTTTTTTGTTTTTTGTTTTTTTTTAAATGTACTGGAACAGTACTTAGTGCAAGTTTTGGGCCAAAATAGTTATCTAATAATGATCCTGGTCACTACTGCTCCCTAAAAACAATAAAAAAAAATCCAACAGATTTAACCTCTGAGGAAGGATGGATAAGTGTCCCTCCCTAAAAGGAGGAAGTCAACTCCTATCAATGTATTCAGTAACTTCCTGAACATCATATCTTCACTTTATGCATGTCTCAAACATTTCTCATCTCTCCAAGCAGCCTCATAAAAAGTGTAAGGAGAAGCAAAAAAACAGAATTCTGTACTACCCAATACAAGAGGTTTGATTTCACATAGGAAACTTTAACCTCCCCATAAACTTTAAAGTTCCTTTCTTACCTAGAATTGACCTCTGCAAGAGCTGGATGCTTGTTGCTATTCCATACTCTGTAATTATGTGTATTTTTCCAAGCTGTTACAAAGGCTGTTCCAAAGTCTGACAGCATCTTTTCATTGTCTAATGAATAAAAGAAGAGGGGAGTGAATCTATGGCAGTTCACTTAGGATGTAACAGGAAAAAAAAGGGAAAGGAGGGGTTTTCGTTTCTTATATTCTTGCCAAAATGAAGAGTTGGACTCCAGGACCCTAACCATCAGCATTGAAACAAGTTTTTTATTTTGGATTTAAAAATATCTATTCACAAATGTGTACACTATCATGAAAGTAGAGTTCAGTCCATCAACTGATTATTTTAAATGAACATGGGAATTTAGAAAATTTACTTTTCTCTGAAAGTTTTACAAAGTCAAACACGAGTATAAACTTTTTCATAAGAAAGCCACTGAACATCCTGCAACAACACTGCACAACTACGAGAACCTGAAAACAAAGATATGTGGCCTCACTCTGTTGCAAGGCACCATATAACGGCAGGAGAGGAGTCAAAGGAGTGAAGATGCCCACCACAAAGCCTGAGGTATCACCTGGCTCTCTTCTAACAACAGATTTGCTAAACCGTTACAACAATTTGAAAATTCTATTTTTGAATTAAATTTGAGACTTCTTAGCATGTGAATTAGTAAAGAAATTCTTCTTCACTCATTTCTTTAGTAATTTCAGAACAACTGAGATAAAAAAGAAACTGCACAAGGTTCATGAAAAACAACATGGTACAACATCAAAGAGTTAAATCATCTTAAAATTACAAGGCTAGTGGCCAAGGAGAACTGAGTATTTTTATGTTTAAGTAAAGCTTTCAATATGTTTTTCAGAAGTTCAGTAGATAGATACAGAATTGACTAATGGCTATTAACTCAGAATAAATTATGAAGGGAAGGCAGGGAAAAATTAATCCTGGGCAAAAAGAACATTTTCCCAAAGGATTTAGGGACAGCTGTTTAAGTTCTGTAAAGACAACTGAAACAAGCACACTCTGCAGAGAAACCCTGGATTAGCAGGATTTCTACATGCATGGATATCAGGTACTTTATCTGTGAAGAGGGAATTTAAACACAAATACCCAACCGAAAACAAAGAGGGAAAGATAGTTTTGTAAAAATCACTAAATGAGGCAGTGTAAATAAGATGGCCAAGGGTGCTTAAAAAATTGAAAAAAAAATGTGGCCTGAAACAAAATGAGATTATGGTTACTAGGGATTTTAGAAAAATCTTCAATGAAATAAAGGCACAATGCGAGCCAAATTCAAAACTTCAATGGAGCAATTGTTTACTGTGCATCCTATTTTACTACCCATCCTCCCCAAAACCCTAAGCAAGGGATCAGAGTATACCTGGTTGCAGCACACTAGCAAGTAGTGCATGAAGATACGCATTAAACTGAGCCCTGATCCACTCATCTCCTCCTTCCCAGCCAGTGCCATCAAGGAAAACGTCATCCCTGTTCTCAGTTACATGCTTCACCAAGTAGTCTGCAAATCTCAGGTCAGCAGTAGTGGGATTCAAGATCTTCCGAAGTTCTGGATCATGAATTTGGACATGGGCTTCCTCTATCTGTTTAAATAATCCCATGGGCAAGAACAGTCCAAGTAAAACTTCCATTATATAAAATATGTACTATTTTTGTCAAACACCAATTCCTCCCCAAACCACAACCACAATCACAACTACTGGTAAGGAGAAACAGATAGCCAGTTTACACACAAACTCTTCTCAGAATATTTCAGATATTGGTCTAAAATAGCCTGGATTTAGGGACCTGCCTGCCACAATGAAGAAAGCTCTTTGACAGGATTGGGTCAATGTACCCAAGTATATTGCTAGAGCTTCTTTCCTCCTACTTTAATTTATTGGCTAGGTTAATTAATTTATCTGACCATAATCATCTAAAGTTACTAGGTGGTCCTTCTGCAAATCAGGAATGTGTTAGGGCAACTACTGCTTCCCTGTAGGGTCATTTTATGGTCATTTAAATCTAAAATTAAACAAACTGAGGACAGCAGCACTAGAATGCTTCTCTCTAGTTTTCTCAGTTATAAACATCTAATTTTCAAGAACTCAGTAGGTAGCCACTGAAGTTCACTATAAGTAAAATAAATCATGATGGTGAGGTGTCAACTGGAATTTTCAAATGCAAGACACTGGATATAAAATGACACACTGTAAAGTTTGTACCATTTTTTGTACAATTTTCTTCCTAAATAAAAAGCTGATAATGTAAATATATAATGGCGTGAGACCTCTTCCATTATTGCTATATTCTGTAACAATGGGCCTGTACAGAAATAAGGTACTATGGTTCTTCTGAAATGACTCCTTGTGGACAGAGCTTACTCTGCAATAATTATCCTGATAAATGTTTCTGTGCAGACAAGCACAACTCTCTTCCTCAGTATCTGCACAATAGGGTTATCAGACAGTGAACTAAACATTAAGAAATCCTGTTCAATAGCCTGCTTTAAATGAAGAACAGCAAACGTCAGTAAAAATTAAATGCAACCAAGAAATATTTTTGTATATTGCTTCTGGACAAAACTTCACTTGAAAGAACATGTGTAGGTGTGTTCTAGGGCAGAGGCCACGTTTCTGGAAATGACTGTTCAAGTGCTTAGTGTGGTGGGATCCTGGTCCTCAATTGAGACTCCTAGTTGCTACAACATCAAAACAACTCTAGTATGAATCAAGGCTTTCTTCTTTTGATTTAAGTATATGCTAGAGGATGCAACCAATCTTTTAGTTTATCAAGTTCTAAGGAGAGGATGCATACTTCCACAATTGCATCACTTAGATGCTTTTGCTGACGAAACAAGATGTTGGTTGCTCCCGCAACAAAGCCACGGATCGTTACATCGGACAGGAGATGATGTTGTTGCAATGCCATGTACGGCAAACAAAGGTATCCCTAAGATAACAAAGATGTTAAATGATTAATAAAAAGGGAGGAGGAGGGAGGGAAAAATAGATGAGTCATCTTATGTACTTACTTACATTTACAGTTCTTCCTAATAAAACAATAAAAAGCAAGAGACTGAATCCAAATAGGTAGAAAAACCCTGGTAACTGCTTTCCACTGAATTCCCAACCACATATAAGCACTACTGTAGAATGTCACTTTGCTACACTACAGTAGAGCAAGCAAATAAATGTGCACAGAAAGTAAGCATGTTGGGAGTCTTGATACCCCAAACCCCTTGATGCTGGATATGTCACTACTTTCGTCCTCATAGGTAAACTTATCCCAAAAGCAATTCAGTCTGTATCACAATGATTAGCACGCAAAAAGGCAGATCTGTGAAGGAGTTTTGGTGAACTGAGACGCACAGACCGGTGACCACAATGAATTGTAATAAGACAATCCCGGGTAAAAACAATGACAACATGACTGTGTTTCCATGCTCCCTGCTCAATTGCCCAAGACTGTTCTCTCAGATAAATGGGTGGGAACACAGAAATTGGAATCTGAACTGTATAAACTCCTTAACACAAAGGTATAGTGTCTGGAATTTGCCTTACCTAAGGGGACAGAATCCGAGGGGGTCCGAAACTTCGTCACCCAGTAGGTACTGAGCATGTATCTATATATTCTCTGCTGTATGTGGCTGCTATTGGTAATTTTGTCTGGTTGTTAAATATTCCAATAAACCAGGGTACAGTTCAACGGAATTTGCTTCGGCTTGTCTTGTACTTCTCCAGAAAAAATAAAAGCTCTAGACAGATTCATCCTGGTGTAATACGTATACTTAGTAAGAAGCTATGTAAACCTGTATTCTTAAGACTCTGGTTGAATTCCAGCTGAAGGTGGTAGGGGCTGAGGACTTTTAACTGCGATAGAATAACTTAAAATGACATTAGTTTTATGGTCACAGCACAGTTCTCATGTCCTCAGCAGTCACAGCAAGGACAAGAACTCAGTAGATGGACAGATTCTTTTATCAACTCTTTCATGTCCTGTCTGTCCAGAGGAGACCATGCTAATTACTGCTGTTATCCAAAATTTGTAGAGACTTCCAGGATCCAGGGGTTTCAATCTAGACTTCTTGGTGAGCAGCATATTCATGCTTGGTTTAAAAACAGCAGGAGAAAGAAAAGTAATGCCCCACGCTTTTTAAGCACTGTACCTTTTCTTCTTTCATATAACATTTTAGGATTACAATATTCATAGATTAATATCTAAATTTGATAACCATTCAACTGCTTCAGGAGTAGTTGCATGGACTGATTTTAGATTGTCATTAAAATGATCTACTTGGGCAATCATTCACAATGCGTTGCACCATGTGAAAAAAAATTGCACAATTGCAACCCAGACTCTTTGATTCTCCATTTACCTTATACATTGAATTAAACCTCCTCCTTTTTTTTTTTTTAAGAAAGCAAAAAGTTTATATATATGTTTTCCTTAGCTTTTGATATAGGTGACACTCAGATTCCTGCAACACAGCTGGAACTATCATAATTTTCCTTTTTAAAATGGAATCAATGTCCCTCTTGAAACTCGAGTCTAATTCCAGCTGTTCAATTACATACTCACTAACAGTCCCAGAAGGGCTACAGGCATGTTGGACAAAATAATAAGAGCACATGTACATCAGATGTACACAGCAATTTGAAACATATGAAAGAAAGGAGTAGAACTCATTCTTTTGCCAGATTAAATGGAGAGATAACTAGCCAGATGACAAGTACTATCAACTAAAACAGAGCAGTCTTTGTCAAAGTACTACAGTGCTTTGTTATGGAATCACCAACAAACTTTATTTGTCTGGAAACCTAAGAGTCTAAAAAGCTGCCAACAGAAGATCTAATTGCTATGTAAGTTTAAGAAAGAGATAGGCTGAGAGATCTTAGGAATTCTTTGCTATTAGAAGTCCAGAGTGTCCATTTCAAAACTCATACTCTTTTTCACTTTCCACAGCATGGCTGACACCATACCAAAAAACGACATTTAAGTAACCCTAAGATGAAGGATCTAAAACACACTTGCATTTCAGGTTGAATTGCCTGGTTTCCTTGGAATACACAAACCAGAAGTTATTAAGGGATGGATGTCACTAAAAGCTGGTATCTTAGAAATTTCAAGCCCTGTTTCTAATTACGTAAGATAACCCTGAATGAGAGACTGCCTTTGTGGAGTAGAAGGTAAATCTTTATATACTGTTCAATACAATTTAAATAATCTCGTTATTTTAAAAGAACCTTCAAGTTCTGTCTCCCACTAATGGTTTGGTGTCCTTTTACTAAATGGACAACATTGCCATGGTCATTTTAATGGAAATGGAGTAAGCGTATCTTTGCCTTTCCTTGTAATTTCATAAATTACCTAAATATCTTTAGTAGTAACATGACTGCCTTCTCAAGACAAATCAGACAAATTACTTGTATGGAAGTGATTCTGGAAGATGTACCAGGTCTTTAACTACATGTATCCCTGTTAAGCCAGTTTGTCATAACATCATTTTTGGTGTTTCTGGTCAAGCATCAGATCAAGGAACACTGCTAGAGACAAATATCTTAAAACTAGTTATGCTAGTACAGGAAAGGTGATATTTTAAAACTGCTTGCAAAAAAATACATCTTTTCACCTCATTTCCTAAAGAACGTGGTATCCCCAATCATAAGGGTCTAGAAAACAGTGTTTGGGTCTTTTCCTGCAGAAATCACTATTTTGCAATTCAGCACTGCCAGTTTTTAGTTTTATCTTAAAGTTCAATTGCAGAGAGAAAATCTTTGCCTCTTCCACATACAAGTGGTATATAATTATTTACAACTATAAGATAAGTAAAATCTTTGCCAGATATAAATGGGTTTGACTTTTAATGTGCTGAGCCATATTTGCTTCAGTTACTCCCTGCTCAAGAAAAGCAAGATACCTTCATGAACATAAATAGAGGACTGCTTTCAAGCCAGATTAGCATTCTCTTACACACAAATAGGTTTGTTTTTAATTTTAAAAAAAGAGAGAGAGAATCCTTTAGTAATGCCTCCTTATCAAGGATGTAAAAAGAAGCCAAAAACTCCATTAGTAACCCTATTCTACAGATTAATTTGGCTAGAAATCATCTTAAAATGGATTAACACAAGTAGCACATACTACCCACAGCTTTTTGTGAAACTCTTGTACTTCCAAAATAAATCCTTTTATTGTTTGAATAATTATTATGGGGTAAGTTCTAAATCCACATATTTCAGCCAACAACTCTTTTGATTTAAATGGAGAAACAGTCCTAGAAGAAAGGACTGGAACTCAGGATCCCCCCAAATCCAAGATAAGTGGCTAAAAGGTTAGTAAGCCTTCTTATGCTCTCTGACTGCCAAGGCTATTATTAAAAGGGAGCATGGTTGCCACCCCCTTCCATTATGTTTAAAATAAAGTGATTATTTCTACTGCATGTTGTAAGGAACTACATCTTGTCCATGTGAGGCATGCTTTGAGAATGACTGCCAGACTAGGTACATCAGGTGGCTTAAGCCAAGGACTTCTGACTTTCTGGATCCCATTTTATTTGGTGTTAAGATAGGTGCCAAACTCCTCAGGTATGTAAAATAAAGCAGTTCTGGGCATCCACTGGGGTAACTGTACGTGCCTAGGGAACTGGCAAGGTGCCAACTGCCTCTGGAGTTTAGGGGCCTCCAGGATGAAACAGCAGCTGAGCCAAGACTTTCAGGATCTCATCTGGATTCAAGTACTTAAACTCCGCTTAAACTACATTTTAGGTACCCACTTTGGATGAAAGTCTAAACTAGGTGGGACTAGGTTAGACAGTTCTTTTGAACATGTTAAGCAACATCTATGGGGGGGACTGGTGTGCTCTAAGACCAGCTGTTGATGTCTGACCCTCCCAACTGATCAAGTAACATCTGAAGGTCATTACCTGTTAACACGGACTTCTAAAACTAGACAGCAGAGTTATAAATCATGTAAAGAATGTATGTGCCTAAGGACAGATAATGAGAGAACTTCTCTGGATGTATTTGATAAAATGTAGTCAATTGTCAAAGTCTGCACGTGCACATTTAGTGATACCTTAAAAATAAACACAACTTCACACTGGGCATCCAAACACATTATTAGTCCATTGCAGCCTGCCTTAACGTTTTACTGGGCTTTTACATAGTTACTGGTTATAATGATCAAGCTGTTTACCTTGGTAAAGATGGCCAATGGCATGCCATACTGGTCCTCCTCTAACCCAGATATCAAACCTGGAACAAGAACTGCATGTCCTGTATTAGCCTGGGGCTGCACAGTAATAGGAAGGTTTTCTGAGGTTGCCAATTCCTTTGAAAAGATCTCAGTCTGTTCCACGACCATGTTTTCATGTTCTCGTTCTTTCATATTATGGTCTTCCAAAATACTAGGATCTAAGGTTTCCCAATCACTTTCAGAAGACTCTGGAGAGGTGCGCATAGGAGGTTTCAAAAACTGTCCAGTACCATTTGAGGACTGTGCCCCATTGCATTTCTTTTCAGACTGGGAAAAGGACCCATTTCCTTTCTGATTCTCCAGTATCTGGTTTCCTGTCAGCTTACTGCCTTCCCCTGCTGGTCCTGAGTTTGTATTTGAAACATCAGCAGCAGGCACAGAAATACAATCATCTACAGGGGTGGTAAATTCTTGCAAGCAAGGATCCTCTGATATACTCTTTCTTGGTCTGTACTGTGAGCAATCAGTAAGACCATGTTCAATCATACCTAGAAGGAAAAGCAATATGTAAATACTACAAACTCACCAGGGATTTTACCAGTCTTTGATTATGGTAACAAAGGAAATTCTCTTTAGCATACTGAAAAAGTATCACACATTTTACAAAGCCTCTTTGAAATTCTTCTGTCCATATGGCCTTGTATTAACCATCTGCCTTAAGTGTTCCTTAACATTTGAATTACATTTTCTTACATTTGGCAGGAACATAAAACCAACCACCTATATCAAGCTTACTAAAGGGTATTCACCCTAAAGTCATAAAACAGACAGCAGTATGAGGAAGCCATAGTAAAAAAAACCAAAACACTCTACATAACTATCAAGTATCATGAGGTTGTGTGCATGTACACTTCATAAGAGATTATTTCACACATTTACATGAGTTAGAGGTGGCTCTTTCTCCAAGCAAAATACCAACACACCTCTGGAGTCATGTAAGTTGAACCCCTCCATGAAATATAGTTTGGTCAACTTCAATTATGAACACAAAACTGCACCAAAATCAAAACCTGCTATGTTCTTACCAGGAAAGAGTGATAAGACTGTCATTAGCGCCCCCACCAGTCTGTTTACTGGAGAGATATAAAACAATACCTAGGGAAACAAAAATAAGAATGAAGCTTCACACAAGAGAACAAAGAAAAGAGCTTAAGGCCAATTAATGCCAAAAAAAAAAAAAAAGCTGGCTGAGAACAACAATTTTTATTTAGACAACGTTTGAAGAGATAAAAACAAGACATTTTCTATACCTGGATAATTTATTGTAACATTTGCCAGTATTTCAACAGTAGCAAGAATGACAAGTTAAAATCTAACTGATTAATTTAAAAGTGACCACCTTTTATCTGATTGTTTTTGGTCTTTTGGGTAAACTATTGCTCACTTTTGTAGCTTGGGAGAAAGGTTAATGCACTCAAGTTGGGGCCCAAATAGATAAACTGCCATCCCAGAATTCAGAAAGAACTAGCACATGAAAATCACATATCTGCTAGTATTAAGGGGGGGAAACAAAAATAAAGAAACTATCAAGTACCATATGATTGAAGACTATAGCACCTATATTTAAGGGTGGAAGAAAGGGGAAGTGATCCAGTAAACAGGCTGAAACTCTTTCCTTAACTGTATGAAGTTCTTTGGAACAGACTTTGAAAATTTTTTTTAAAAAGGGACAGACATAAAGGATAAATAAAGACAACATAATTTGCTAAGCAGACTGGGCCAAATTAAGCAGGTGTCTTTCTTTAATAACCTTGCTGATTTTCTAGACCACTGGGAAACAACCTTTCTGGCAGGTGTGACAAAAATTAGCCCTGTACCCTCCACACTGATTTATTCCTCCTGTTCAATCTGCTGCCCTGCTTTCTGCTCCCTGCCGTATCTGCCTCTCTGTTGCCTGTCCTCCCCCCAGTCTGTTGCTTGCCACACACAAAGGCTGCCTGTGCCACTTGTGCTGCAGGTTGGCCACCCTTGGTTTA